CAATGGACTCGAGCCGCACTCCCTTGGTCTCAGGAACACACAGCACCGTCCACACCCCCATGACAATGCACAGCGAGCCAAACAAAAGGAATGTTCCGTACGTAATGTTGTCCAGCATCAATGGCGTAATCTTTGCAATCACAAAGTTGAACAGCCACTGAGTCATGAGCGAGGCCGCCATGAGCAGCGACCGTACCTGGTTCGGACTGCACTCAGACGCAAGCACAAAAGGAATGGGTCCCCAGCCAAACGAGTAGAAGACAACAAACAGGTATACGCACACAATGGCAAATATTGCGTTGCCGTCTAGGTCGCCCGATGGTGGGTGCACCGCTTGGTTGACCCCGATGTAGAACATGGCAAACGCTTGCCCGAGGGAGCCGATGATCAGAGACCATTTGCGTCCGAGCTGCTCGGTAAACGCCATTAGCCCAATGGCCGTTACCACAATCTTGACAATGCCGTAGATACCAGTCGCCTATATAGTCACACCGTTAGCACCGTTTCAACTCCCCGTCACTACATACATATATGTATGTATGTACGTATGTACATGCAACAAGCCACCATTCGCACTTACAAATAAGCCCGATGATTTACCGGTAAGACCAATCTGCTGGAAGATCTGCGGGGCGTAATAGTTGATCCTAACCAAGGTCAGCCGCATTCCTGCATCTAATCGAATAGGTATCAGAGCCATACGAGTTTGTGCCAGTCCACTGCTGCCAGAACATCAGAATGACAACAAATGACGACCGGTAGAACATTTTTTTGCCGGAGCAGGACGCCTTGATCTGGGCAAGCAAGGGCATCTTCTCGTGTCCGTTGAAGTCTGCGATAATCTCATCCAGTTCCTCAATAACCTCGGGATCGTCGACCCTCTTGCCGCGCACTGTAGCCAGCGCCTCAGCGGCCTCATGAATCCTGTTCTTTTCCACCAGCCAGCGGGGCGACTCGTTCATGAAAACAATGCCCGCAAGCAGAATGGCTCCAGGCAGCATTTGCAGCGCAAATGGTACCCGCCATTTGGTGGGATCAGTAGGGCTGGTGATGTGTAGAGCGATGCCGTAGTTGACAAAAAAGGACAAACAGATGCCCGTGACGTTGAAAAGTTGCTATTGTTTTTTGTCAGTCCACCACACCCAACCATCAAGTTTGACGCAAGCAAGCATACCATGCAGCCAATGCAACGGCCTCGAATCGCTCGAGGGGCATTTTCTCCAATGTAGGTAGGTACGACGGCAGAGATCAAGCCAACTCCAAATCCACCAATCACGCGTCCGACGTATAGCTGGGCAAGATTCGACGTGCCAAGCCCACACAGCGTCTGGATCAAGGATCCGACAATGAAGATGATGTCGGCGATGATAAGCGCCCATTTCCTGCCAAAGGTATCCGAGATGTAGAAACTCGCCAATGCGCCGAAAAAGCAGCCTGCTTGCAGTACAGACACAATGTTGCCCTGTAGATTGGCAAAGTCGGGGCTGCCCTTGTGCAGGTTGAAGGAATTCTGGAACGAGTCCATGGTCAAGACACCTGCGCGCATCGCGTGAGGTTAGCATAAACAAAACCAACGTCGATTATTACACAAGTCGCGTACCTCCGATCAAGCCAGTGTCCCAGCCAAACAGCATGCCGCCGAATGAGGCCACAGCAGTAAGCAAGTAGGCTCGGCGGTACAACTTGATGTCCGCCCAGACCTCACCCAGATTAAGCATCGCCATGGTTCCTTTTCCCGTTACCCGTCCAATATATCGCCGTCAGCGACACACGCGGCAGTATGAAAATAAGAAGAAAGAAGAAACGTGCAAGGCGTTTACGATGATAAAGACCAGGGTGGGTGGTCTCTCTCCATTTAAATAACAAACCCCCCAACCCCATCCAATTCCCAACGTCTCCACTAGGCATGCCTACTCCCCCAGAAAGACGTACGAGCAAAACCCGTCGCAAAGGGCTCAATTGGCGCCGTGTGCCTGTCGGCACAAAAGGCGGCACATGTGACGTCTTTTGACACGCGCGGGGGGGCGACCAGCCATGCGAGATTCGTGGGGACTCCACCTTCAAAAGTCTATGTGTTGCCTTGACGCCTAAGCGGGGCCCCAAATTTCTCTCTTGGCCTGAGCTGCCCCCAGTGGGGTCGGCAACTTCGGGGACGGGCATATCCATCTGCTTTGTTCAAATGCCGCTGGCTTGTCACACACATATATCCGAAAGAGAGCAGTTATTCTCGGATATGTGTAGGTATCAGTATGCTGGTCCGGGTACCAGCGGTGTTGCGCAAAGGTACCAGACATCATGTCAAGCTCGTGGCAAGGAACCAAAGCGGCGTGGGCGGTGTAGAGACGGCCTCTGTCCGGCGGTGCATCTGCAGGTTACATCCAACCTCTGGCTCGGTACCGGCAAGTGGAGGGGCCCTGTTCGCACACCCGTCTGACAGATCTCAGCCTCTTTTTTGCCTCGATTATTCACATGTGAATGCACAGCATCAAAGTCGTGGAACATGAAGAGTTGCATCCTTCTCGCGATGCTCAATCGCCATACTTCTTGATCAAACACCGATGCCAACAAGTCACACCTGAGAAACGCGCTCGCCTCGCCAAGTCGCTCGCCATGCCCGCTCAAAGACCGACCCCGGATCCCACGTTTTGACTCCGCAATTCTTGACTCTCCGCATCAACATATGAATCATGATGTTGATTGCCGACGTGCTCAATCTTGCATCTCACTCATACGACCTGCACCACTCCTGCATGACACCCAGAAAGGAAGAGATCACAGTATTGGAGTTTATCATGGTTCATCAATTAGTCTATGCAGTGCATCTACGCTATCAGGCCTAGACCCATCCAATCTCCTCTATCATCTAGATGTTTGCCTTCTCCGTCTTCTGCTCCGGTACCTGCGTCAATAACTTATCGCTCGTAATGGCTGACTTGAGGTTGTCCAGGACCAAGATCTCCATTTCACGCTGCAACCATGTTAGCTTCTTCCTTATTTTTTTTTCTTTGTCAGATGACATACCTGAGTTTCAAACGTCGCCGTGCCAACGTGAGGCAGCAGTACGGCATTCTCGCACTCCAACAGCCCGGGATGGATCTTTGGCTCCTCCTCAAACACATCTAGTCCCACAGTCCATACCTTGCCGCTCTTGAGCGCATCCACCAACGCCGCTTCGTCAATCAACGCACCTCGTGCTGTGTTTACAATAACCACACCATCCTTCATCTGATTGAACTGGTCCTTGCCGATAATGTGTGTAGTTGAAGGGTTGAGAGCCAAGTTCAAGCTCAGCACGTCCGACGTCTGAAGCAGCTCCTCAAAGCTAACGTACTTGGCGCCGTTCTCTTCGCTAGCAGGCAGCTGGCGACGGTTGTGGTATTGTATCTTCATGCCAAAGGCCTTTGCGCGGTGTGCGACAGCCGAACCAATGCCGCCCATACCCAAGATACCTAGCGTCTTGTTCTTGGGGTCGTGTCCGAGGGAAAAGTTGCCACGCCACTTTCCTATTTCAAATTGTCAGCACAATGTTCACCAACGTTGAAGAGCTGCTACCCACCACTGTTGACTGCCATGTATGATTGCTTAATGTTTCGTAGGGCGCCGAGCATGAGCCAGATGGCGACGTCAGCAGTCGCGTCGTTGACTGCAATTGGTGTACTCGACACCGAAATACCCCTCTTTGTGCATCCCGCAACATCGATGTTGTTGTATCCTGCGCCGTTATGGCACACGTACTTTAGGCTCTTTGGCAGTGCATCGAGCAGCTCAGCATTGAAATCTCCAGTAATCGGGTTTGAGTCGTTACTCCTGTAGAGAGCGTAAACCCCATCGAACTCGCCGCTCTTGCACTTGGAAATGAAGTCTTCGCGGTTACCATCGGGGTACTCGTATAGCTTGGATGCGACCTCAGCACACTGCTGCCACTCTTTCTGCGCATGTGACAGCTTGCCAATCAATAGCGCCGCTCGTTGAGACATGGTGTACGTATGTATGTGTGTGCGTGGGTATAAAGCAATGAGACCAAGACAAAGGCAGAGTTTGAAGCTTATTCGGAAAGAACAGAATGGAGGAGAGAAGGAGGCGGGAAAATGGCAAATGTCAACTCTGGCAAAGCGGCAATTGCATCCTCTTTATTGCACCGCCCTGCTCCGTCAACGGAGCTCTTCTTACCGGTCCATCTCGGACCGAGACTTCCACCATACAGATATGGACTGTAGTAATTCACTCATCTTGATAATAGCATGTGAGTTTACTATCTCATTGTCATTGCTTGTTGTCAAGGGTATTTTGCGACAAACATTGAGTTTCTGGTGCTGATACCCCGCCATGCTCTTTGGCAGCCCCACCATCGTCATGGTGATTGCATACTCCGTACAATACATGTACAGGTCAAAGACCTTGCAAATTTCCATCTTGGCTATTTTACCACGCTTGGAATCAATTTTAATACGCCATTTCATAGATATCATGCGACAGCTCGCCAGTTGCCAGGTACAAGATCCAAGTGTGGACCAACGTCATCGGCGTTTGACCTCAAATTCAAATGCCGAAACACGACACGTGAACACGCTGTCCAGCCAGCCAATGCACGACACCCGATCAGAACAAGCGTGTCGTATATTACCTCATCGGGCGCCCGGTCTAACCTCGCCATCGGAGCCGAGGCGAATCGCCTATTTCCGGTGTCAATCCTCCCGCTTTCTTACATGGCGGCTCTAAGGCTAGGCAACAAGGCAGCAATGGACATGAGCTGCCTAGCGAAGCCTGGCTTTGAGATTGAATATAGTGAGAAACAGGCGCGATACTATAAGTATGTGGTTCATGAGAGATATTTGACAGTTGTTCATCTGGATTTAGAAGAGAATACAAAACTGTACATATCGACTTCATCGTATGATTCACTCCCAGACTCGTAAACAATTATATTTCACATTGACCAAGTCCACTACCAACCACCACTCCTACTAACCCCCATCATTACAAATTCCAAATCCAAAAAAATGGAACTCAAAACCATCGCGATCCTCGGCGTACGCCCCACCCTCCTCCTCCACCCCTTCCCCCATCTAACTCACCCACTCCACAGCCCGGAGGCCCCCTCGGCACCGCAATCCTCAACGAAATCCTCCAACACTCCCCTTCCCCTTTCAAAACCATAACGCTCATCACCCGCCCAACCTCCTCCTACACCCCTCCCCCACCCCCCTCCACCAGCACTACAACCCTCCTCCACAAACACGCCGACTACACTTCTCCCTCCTCCCTCCTCGCCGCCTTTTCAGGTCAAGACGCAATCGTAAACTGCATCACCGGCAGCGCAACTCAGTATGCCCCGTACCGCCTTATCATCGATGCTGCGCTGGCAGCGGGTGTGAAGTTGTTCTTTGCGAATGAGTTTGTGGGGGATGTGGGCAGTCCGCGGTATACGCGGCTCCCGGAGAGATTTGTAGGAGCGAAAGCGAGGATACGGAGGGAGTTGGAGGAGATGGGGAGGGAAGGGAGGATGGGGTGGATTGGGTTGAATGGGGGGGCTTTTATGGATATGTGTATGTTTGTCTCTTTTTTCCATCTTGTTCATTTGCTGTTATCTTGTTTTGGAGAGGAAAATCATGTGTGGAAAAACTTATGGGGTGGGGGGTGGGAAAAGGGCTTATTTTGGAAAGGAGGGGGATTGTTGATACTGATACCTTACCAGGGCTTACAAAAGGTCCCGCGGGCTTCTCCCTACCTACATCTCACGCCCGTATTTACGGCACGGGTAACGTCCCGCTATACTGGACTCCCCTACCCGTTCTCGCCCGCGCAGCTGTACACATGCTGCGCAACCCAGAGCCAGTTATGAACCGCGCCATTCATATCTGTCCGTTTGTAGCGCGACCTGGTGAGCCCTCGTGTCTTACACAGCATGGGTTGCTGCGTGTGTTGGAAGAAGAGCTGGGCACGAAGTTTGAGGTGGAGGAGGTGGATGTTGAGAGGATTTTTCGGAACGCAATGATGGTTTTGGGGAGGTACGAGAGGGGTGAGCCTGGGGGAGAGGGGATTGCGCAAGCGATGAAGGGGTTGGCGGTTTGTAATCAGTTTTACGAGGAGGAGGTGGGTGGAGAAAAGTCGTTTAGCGACTTAGTTGAGAATGAGGTTATGGGTGTTGAGATGATGGATGTGAGGGATGCGGTTAGGGATGCGATTAGTCGGTATGGAAGGGACTGCGCTATTGTTGACGGTATGTTCAGAGTGGAAGCTTGTGAAGTTTAGGGAATCCAAAGAATTTCTTTGGGAGGTCATTATATCTCCTTCTAGGCTACTGATCGGAGGGAGGAGTCATGCAATGCAGTGATGGATAGATTCGTCCATTGTAACTTATTTTTTTTGGTCGGCAATAATATTTTATTCCATGCTAAAGACGTCCGCCCCATACGCTCACACAAGTGAATACCAATAACTTCCGAAAATACCCACAGCAATTAAAAACTATCCCCTTCCATTTCCATGCCCCAGAATTACTGAGACGGTCCACTACCAAAATTCTGACCTTGGTACTGGTGCATACCCTGTCCGTGTCCGTGGCCTGTATCCTCCACTGCCATCGAGTCCCAATCCCATTGATCCATCGTAGCCGTATAAGGATTCGCATAAAACAAACTCATCTGCGGCTGACCAAACTCGTGCATGCCGGTGTTTGAACTAGTCAGATATTCAGAGCTGGGCGCGTTACTCTGGTAGAATCTCCCGGCACTAGGCTGTGGAAAGTAAGGCATACTATTCAACTCGTCAGGTCCCGGCCACGCATGTTCCATGTGCTGTAGCGGATGCGGGTGACTTGTTAGTTGATAAGAGTGTTGCGAGCCAGGCTGTTGCTGTAATGGCCCATATTCTTGGCGGCCAAGTGCTTGAGTATGCTCCGGATGGGGCATCTGTTTCTTGGCAGCGTCTTCTGATCGTTGTCTGCTGAGCACCTTGGTGACAACATTGTATGCGCTCTCGCTAACCGCGTCAACCGTCTTCATCGAGTGAAGCCACGCTATAAGCTTTTCGACACAAGATGTCACGTGAGACTTGTCGACGGTCAAATGGACGCAGTCCAATGAAAGCTCGATCAAAAGCGGGGTGAGGGCTTGCATGACTGTATCGCATAGTTAGCCTGACAGTTCACGTGGCCATACCAAGGATGCTTACTCATATGTGTGGCGCACCACCAAGGACCGTTTGCATAATACCAAGAACGGTTCGGGACATCAGGCAACAGTGCTGCGATGTCAAGGGCTGCTCCGATACAGGCTTCTGCTGTCCTTTGGTTGAAGCACAAAGACTCTTCGCTCTGTCCTTTTATCCGCTCATCCATTTTGCAAACGCATGGCCGAGTGATGCAGATCTTGGCGTTGTAGTAGTAGAGATAGAGGAGTAAGCGCTCGCGATCTAAACTGTGATCAACAGTGGCGGCGGCAGCAGCAGACGCTCCCTGTGGCAGCGATTGCAAAGCCCAAGTTTCCAGCTCTTCAGAGAGCGAGGTAATCATGCTCTGTGCACCCTTCCATGACCTGACAGACTTTCGTGGCGAATATAGTCCAGCGAGGATCTTGTCCATGAGAATGTCGAGCCTGACATAAGCTGCAGCAAAGTTGTTCAAATTGTGTACAGCGCTCTTCTCTCCAGTAGAGGAGCCAGACCCGTGGCTATATACCGAAGCAGTGGTAGAAATATTGCCTGTTGTGGCTTCGCGCGACTTCGATTCCGTCTCGGTCCTGACTGTACCCGGTGGGGGTACTGTGCAGTCGTTGGCAGATATTGCCCGGGGGCGACCCAATATTGCAGTAAGAACGCATTCGACAGAGTTGAGGGCCCACCACAGCTCAGCCAATGAGTTTCTCCGGTCGTTGGGTATAGAAGGATTCTCATATCTAAGGTGCAGACCTGCAGCCTGCGCATGTCGGATAGCCATACCGATCATGAACCAGGCTCTGAGCACCGTCTCAGCAACTGTTTTTGTCTCCAGCTCTGGAATATTTCGCCGTGGTTTCGAACGTACCTGCTAACGTGGCCGATTGTGAGGTAGTATAGTGCAAGAAGTCCGATCGCCTGTACCTTATCAGAAGGGTGTATTTAGTAGTTTGCCATGCTCACCTGTATCAGTCGCTGCTCCGGGTGCGAAACGAGAGCCCTCATGTTTTGTAGCTGTAAGAGATGGATCGCTCTCCACATGTAGACCAGATGGTCGCGATCGTCCGCCCGCCACTCAGCGTCAATTAGATACGAGTACCGCGCACCGATGGCGAACACAAGGTTCATGACAGCTTTCCACTTGGGGCACACTTTTGCCATAACTCTTGCATCCTTCTCGTTGAGATAGACTTCTAGTTGTTGCTCGAATTCATCGTCAACAAGCTTGAATGGGCTATGCACTGCATGCTTGTAGTAGCCGAGCAAACTCTGTGCTATACTAGTGGAGGGTACAACGTTGGGATCACCGATTTCGATATCGATATTGATCTTGTCGAGGTAAAAGTAGTAGTTGGTTGCAGAGTTTGCGTTGGCCTGCGTATGGCCGCTCTTCTGTTGACGCCCGTGGAGTGCTTCGGCACGCCGGTTGAAGGCTTCTGTACTGGCTCCAGGTGGCCCGTAGTCTGAAAAGGAAGGTTCACCTTCAGGTTGCTCCACCTTGGACTCGAGTGCACGCAGCCACTGGGCTTGTGAGTTACGGCCCATGAAACCTGCACTTTCCGCCTGATTAACACGCAAAAGATCCTCCTGAGCAAAGTCCAGGTCCTCATTTGACCCAACCGAGGCCGAAGCAAGCGCCTCACCGACATCTGCAGAGGTGGAGCTTACGGCGTCGTCATCGAAATAAGAGGTTTGTCTCTGGCGCTTGGAGTGTGACACAGAGGGTACCGAGGGGGTTTGGGGAAGAGGTGTGTCGTCTTCAAAAGACGCCAGTACTTCTTGGATTTTATTCTTGCCTTTCTCATCCAGTTGGCTACTAACATCGTTCAAGAGCTCTGTCAGAATCTGCACCTTGCGTAACGCGCTTTCTCCTGTGTCAGCAGAAACCGCGGAGCCAGCGGCATGGACTCTACGCACCCTCGGAGGCGGTCTTTGCGCTCCTGTTCATAGTGGCACGCATGGTCCTTCCCCTGGCGCTGGCAGTTGGTACAGCGCGGCCGGTCACCGGAACATTTGATTTCTGACTGTGGTCAGCATGCTCTACCTTCCAAGACAACGTCGGCCACTCAGTCATAGCAAAGAAGCAGCGGAAAAGCAAAGGTTGAGCTGGAAGAGAGGCCCACTTCGCTTACGGCACTGCGTACACTACCGGCTGTCAGCTCCGGTCCAATAATTATCGGGATGTCAGGACTCACGGCTTTGCTCACTACGTCGGTCCGGGGACGCTGAGGTCGCGCTGTAGCAGGCAAGTGGTAGTTGATGTTTTGTAGTCGTGGAATGGCCACCTTTGCATCTGGCCTTGACCAGGAGCTCAAGTGCTCAGGCGGATAGTGTTGCTGCGTGTTGTCCATAGGTTTAAGGGCTTGGATGGAGCGCTACTGGAGGAGAGATGGCAGCATGTCGCTGGGCAGGCTCAGTTGATGCTGGGTCTGAGGAGGTAGGAAGCTAAGGTAGAGTGCGTGTCTGTAGCAACGGGCAGGTCCAGCTGCGAAATCATCAAGCATACATGCATTTGGTCCAAATAATACTGGGTATGGAAGGAGAGGATTTGGAGATACGAAGCGCTATGATTGGTTAGGGCAGTCGTACCGTAGCCAATCACGAGCAGATTAGCAATGTCACGTGTCGGCAGCAAGTGAAGCCACATCAAGGTACGCGGGGCACCTAGATGTGATACAACCGATTGTGGTATGCTTTTCGTGCATCTAGATTTACTCGAAGATTATTCCAGCCAATAGACTTGCCTATATTACTGTTCTTGAATTGCTTTTGATGCGAGTCCCACATGTACCTCATTTAAAACTCAACGAGGCTTTGGGCGCTGATACACCCCCTATGGCTACCCCCACCGTCTAGGGCTGCAACATGGCCAAGTATAATAGACCCCAATGCTCTTGCTCCCGTCTGCTAGAGCACCCGCTTGTTCAACTCCCGCTAATACTTCATCTTAGCGCCCCGTGAACGTGCAGCAGATCATAACAGATCCGACGGAGTGGCTCTTATATCATCTCTTTTAGTCCGTGGACAATTTCTAAACCTCCAAGGGATACGACAAGCCAGGTCCTCAGAGAGGAGGTATTGTGGTGTAGTATCACGTGACTAGTTCACGGTATATATTACGATTTTCTTTCGTAGGTAGATAGGCACCCTTCTCCAATCAATCCTTTATACTGATCAAAATTCAGCTTACTTCTACTCGATTGCGGGTCGCCCCTCTGATCTTTTGAGCTCGATCACGTATCGTGCCACATTTTTGGTGACCTAACCAGGGGGTAGTGACGGTCTATCGGGAAAAGAGAAGAAGTTAAAGAAAGATCGGAAGGTTCAGCAGCTCGAAAGCGAGTCGTTAAAGGAGAGGGTCAAAATCATTCAGTAACAGAAAGAGATTCAGCGGAGAACGAGGTTCGAACGCGGAGACTCTAAGAAGAAAGCGGTGTAGTACCCCCGAGGGCGCACCGGAGCTAAGATCGATTAAGGGTCGAGCTTGGATCAAAAAGAGAGCAAAGCGAATGCAGCTCGAAGAAGAGCGGAGAGGAAATAGTCACGAAGGCCTATTAGAGAGCTCTATAATGAGTACTCTGATGGGATACCAAGGAAGGTTTGAGCCTATAGATGCCAACGCACCAAGGTTTAATGGGCGGAATATTACCGACTTTCTCGAAGAATACAACTTCTAATGTGATTGGGTATTATAGCCAGAAGACGTTCGAAAGAGACAGCTACCGTACTTTTATGAACAGCGCTACAAAGCTTTTATCCGAAAGCTTCCTAGCTACTTAGATCCAGAAGTATCATGGGCTGATTATTAAGCGGAGCTGAAGAGCCTCTACTCGAGTTAGGATGAAAATAGGAAGAGAGGCACTCGAGCCTTTATCGAGAACTACGTCAGTGAGGTCCACCGGCGACAGCCAGCCGTGAGGATTTCGGAGTACTATCAGAACTTTGTGACCTACTTCACAGCGGCTGAAAGCCGAAACCAGGTCACTACCCAGGAGAAGGGAGCGTTATTCTTTCGGGGTCTCGCTCGAGAAGATATAGAGAAAGTGATGCACCTAATACTAAAGGAGGATCGTCCGAGGTTTGATAATCTTGCGAGCTTCAAGTTATCAAAAATTTATGAGTTTGTCCAAGAGCAGCATAAGCAAGAGGAAAACCTAAATGCGATGATTACTGACTACTCGTCGGTAAGTATAGTACAAGCTCGAAAAGATGCAGAGACGCTTGAAGAGGAGGTTCATGTAGAGGAGTACGCTCAAGCGTACCAGCCGAAGACTACGCCAGAAGAAGTTCAAAGGCCAGAGCAGCAGTTGAAAATTGCTACTCCGAAGGTTGATCCAGCGGTCGCAAGCTTAATCAAAAAATTTAGCGGACTAACGCTAAGTATTAAACAGTTTAAGCATATTTCGAAGCACTCGCGGGCGATACGGAAGATACTAGAAAAACCTGAAAACTATATAGAGGCTTATAAGCAACTGGTTATCGGGGCAAGAAAACAAGATCCACCTGTGCTCGAAAGAAACGACGGGAGCTTTCAATCGATATACCCGCCTATGATGAATCCGCAAGCGTATCGTGCAGAAGCAGGCAGAGGCGATCAGCTAGCGGAGTGTCGTGCTTGCGGAGGTCCGCATCTAATTGCGAAATGCCCTCACTTAACTTTGCTTCGAAAGAATAGCTGGTTCCATACCCGTACTGAAGAAAGCCCGAGCGGTTGGAAGAATATAATCTACTATTTTGGGCCGTATCCGACGGATATCTGGGGCATTTTCCCAGGAGGCGGTCGAAGCCTAAAGCCGTTTTATACGGAGGTGCTAGACTGGGTACTACGGTCGATTAAGGATCGATTCAAGGTCTCCGATGAGCAGTTGAAGAAACCGATGCAGGTAGCGCTCCCTGAGTTGTTTGATAGCCTAGGAAAGCTAATTGTTAAACAACCCTCTATACCTAGTGGCGAAAGCTATACGGTAGAGGCGAGCGAGACTGGTGCCACCTTAGCAAGGCAGACGATTGCACTTCGGTCTGCTGCGAAATTTCTTGAGAGCGTCTCAAAAGCTGGCGAGGTGTACTACGCGGAACCAAGCGTGAATGTGGTTAGAAAGCGAGGGCGACCCCCGAAGAAAGCGGCAGAGGCTCACCAGAAGGATGGGCGGCTTTCGAATCGAAAGCCTACTATTCCCGTAATGAAGGGCAGTTAGGCTACAAGGGCCAGAGCTATGCCGGAGGAACCCCAAGAAGATCCGGAACTACTTCGATACCACGCCGTTGTGGATATGCAGGATGCGATGCAGGCTGAACGAGAGCTAATCGCTGGCCAGTCAAGCTAGGACACTATACAGCCAGATAGCTTTTGGACAGCATCCTAAGACCCTGATATAATTCCGGTTGCGCAGTCGAAGACCGCTCGATAACGAGCAGCGACGACTACTCCTTCGGAGGATGATCTTACAGCGATAGTCGCTCGCGGCTCTCGCGCGACAGTAGCTTAAGCGATGCTAAATCAAGAAGTACGAGGAATTCGGCAGTCCGACCTGCTCTCAATGCCTGAGCTGGCCGCGATCTTTTCGAAAGTAGTAAGCAAGGGAGGAGAGAAGAGAGTACAGTTTTCGGATGGCGAGAAGCACTTGGGTGAAGCAATGGAGGTAGTTGACTCTATCGAGCGACAGGATTCGGAGCTGAACGAAGCGTTGCATGAAATGTATTAGTGGGGCTCTAAGGGCTACTTAGGAGAAACTCTAGTCGTTGAAGATGGTTCAGATGTCGAGGACGTTCTGACGGGAGGCCTTCTTCATCAGCTATGCCCGAGTTTTGCTTAGAAGAACGTGCCGAGGTTGCTTCGAGGGAGTGAAGCAAACGAACTTGATGATTTCTAGAACTACGATTTAGATAAGGAAGACGATGGGTATGCGGAGGAGCAGGCCTTAGTACCAATAGAGACTCGTATGAAAGGTGAGGCTTAGCATCGGCGATACTCGCTTAAAGGATAGCTGCCAACCTGCTGGATTACATTACAAGGAGGGATGGGGCGAGCGCTTATCGACACCGGCTCGCAGCTAAACGTGATGCGATTGACAACCGCACGAGCGTTAAACGTATACGTTACCGAGATGGATTAGACTACGCTCCCGAGAGAATTTTAGCAAGGGATGATTATAGCTGATGGGAGTATGGATCCCTTTGTTGGAACTGCATACAGTGTACCAGTTGTAATTGGTGGCGTGCTGGTGCCGATTTACTTTCGCATCACGAAGAAGCTCCGACGGTTAATCCTGCTTGGCACGCCTTAGTGCGCAGCGGCACGACTCCGAATCGAGTTTGACACCTTTAGCTAAACCCTTTGTTATATTAAGTCGATGGACGGTCGGAGGGAAATCTCCTTCGTAGGGTGCGATCCAGCACCTACAGCAAATGCTCTTTCGGCAAGCAATCAGGGAAACGAGTAGCGAGCGTGTCTACTGGGGAGACATGCTTGGCAGAATGCTATAGCCTAGAAGCTTTACCTGAGTGGTTATCACCACTACAGGTATTTAAGAAATCACGAGAGTTGTGCGATCTTTTTCAACTAGAAGGAAATCGAAAAGCTGGGGAGGAAGCGAGCGACGAGAGGCAATCGTTTGAGGAGTTATGGCTACAATAGCTAAGGAAAGTACAGCGAAAAGTTTCTGGAGAAGTTAACACGCTGTATAAGAAGGTAGGGGAGAAAGTACGACCTGTCGATACGCCGAGGCAGGACCAGCCAATGGATCTCGGACGCGAGGATTGGAAGCAGAGGGCGATCGAGCGCCAAGCGGCGAGGATTGCCCTTCGCGGACCAGATATCGGGCCTTTTGATCACGTGCTTGGGAGTAGAACCGCACTCTTTTCGAGAGGAGCTCGGTTGACCGTAGCAAGGCTGCAGAACATGAAATTGGGGGAGGAACTATGGCTAAACGAGGCGCAACTCTTTCGAGAGTTAATGTTTCAGCGAGAAGACGCGCTGGCTTGGAGCTTCGAAGATATGTCGACAGTGCATGCCGACGTTCAGCCACCGTACAAGATCCGAACGATCCCACATGAAGCGTGGCAAGTGAGAGGGTTTCAGTGTCCAAAGAAGCTGGAGCCGATCGTGATTGAGATGGTTACTGCGAGGCTCAATCGAGGCACGCTTGAGAGATGCGATGGGCAGTATCGCAATCCGTACTTCCTAGTCCCGAAGGTTAAACAACCAACAACTACGAACGACTTTCGACTAATTAACAATGCGGTAAAGTATAATGCAGTGACAGAGCGTGATGCCTATATCCCCCCGTCAGCCGATGAGTTCTTAGAGCGCTTCGCGGGTAGAACGGTATATTCTTACTTCGACCTCTTCTCGGGATACGACCAAATACCGCTGCATACGTCGAGTCGCGATATTACTGCGTTCTAGACTCTAATCGGACTCGTGCGGCAGTGTATACTACCGTAAGGTGCAACTAACTTAGTCGCAGTCTTTATTCGAACGGTAATGAAGATCCTTGCCAATTATTTCCTAGAGGCAGCACCTTTCTTAGATAATATTGTAGTAGCAGGACCTCGAAAAGATTATGGACAAGAGGAAGCGCTACTAGGAATCCGTCGATTTATATTCGAATATGCAATTCAAGTCGATAAAGTACTGCAGGACATTGCTCGGGCGGAGGCCACAGTATCCGCAAAGAAATCGTACTAGGGTGTAGCTCGAATGGCAGTCGTAGGGTATGAGGTAGACCGCGAAGGTAGGTACCCATCGAAAGAGAAGGTAGGAAAGATTTTAGCGTGGCCCGAATGCAGGACGGTGAAGGAAGTTCGACAGTTCGTTAGAATTGCAGTATACTATCGGCAATGGATCTTTTGTTTTTCGTTAAAAGCAGAGCCTCTTTTTCGGTTGCTACGAAAGGATGCCGAATAGACGTGGGGAGACGAGCAGCGAAAGGCAATGGAGATTATTAAGGAGGCGATTGCGAGCCCTCCTGCCTTAGTTGCCATTGACTATCAATCGGGACTCCAGCTTATTGTCGGCGTGGACGCCTCGCAAATCGGGGGAGGGGCTGTCTTGGAGCAAGTAGGTGCAGACGGCCAACGGCACACGATTCGGTTTGAAAGCACATTATGGTCTAAAGCAGAGTCGAAGCAGCACTCGATAAAACTAGAGTGTAAGGCGTTAGTTTGGGCATTGAAGGCCTTTCAGACGTACCTGTACGGCCACTTCTTTACAGTCGAAATAGATGCGAAGGTTCTTATTGCGCAGCTTAATCGATCCTTAGCAGACCTGCCAGGATCGGTTATGAACCGATGGCTTGCCACAATACTCCAATACGATTTCGAGATCATCCACGTACCAGGTAAGAAGAACGTTATCCCCGACGCGTTATCAAGATACCCGCAACCCGAAGGATGGACGGCGCCGGAGAGGGACGAGGAGGAGCTAGATCCGTTTATCGAAAAGGTTCTAGATAAGCATGAGGAGGAGAGTTTCGTCGCTGCAGTAGAAGGGAGTCAGCCTCGAATACTTTTTGATGAGTACAGCGATCAGTGGGAAGAAGTTGCACTATACCTACGCACGCTACAGAGGCCGAGACACCTTCGAGGGGAACCATTGAGGCGTTGGACGAAAGCAGCCACGAAATACTTTGTACGAGAGCGATACCTCTTCAAGAAAGCGATAAAGACAAAGCCAGTCCGACGAGTAGTCGATGGGGAGGACCTTTAGGCAGCACTTATCTAAGAAATGCACGAGCAGCTTGGGCATAAAGGGATTTAGACGACCTTCGCAGCGATTAGCTAACGGTATTGGTGGGAAGGGATGTATCGGCAGATAGCTAAGCAGCTTGGCCCTTGCCCTACCTGCCAGAAGATGCGCGGAGTCCGACAAGAAGCAGAGCTGAACATGACGTACTCTCGGGCGCTATGGTCCTGGTGGACTATCGATATTACTTATATGCCGAAGGTTCAAGGGCGGACTTACTTACTTATTGCCCGCGAGTATTTATCGGGATGGCCTGAGGCCAGAGCTCTTACGACGGCTAGCTCGGAGGCGGTAGCACGATTTGTATTCGAAGAGATCTGTTGTAGGTGGGGGGTTCCCGCAAAGATATTGGTCGATAGAGGCACGGAGAACAAGTCGGTTGTCGAAGCGTTATCGAAATAATTTAGCATTCATCGAGTACAAGCGTCGGCGTACAACTCTCGAGCTTAAGGACTTATTGAGCGAGGGCACCAAGGGTTTATTCATGGGTTGGCGAAGCTACCAGGGTCGTGGGTAAGTAATCTCGTAGTAGTGACGTGGGCCGAAAGAGTGTCGTTACGAAGACCGCTTGGTTATTCGCCTGCTCAGTTAGTGCTCGGACAAAACCCGGTATTACCTATCGAAATGGTTGCGCCTACCTGGCAAAGCCTGCCATAGACAGAAGTTCGATCGCAAGCAGATTTGATCGCGGTTCGGGCTGCCCAGCTGCAGTTTTAGCAAGAAAATCTTGAGAAGGCAGTCTATCGGACGAGGAGGCTTCGTAGTGAGGCGGTGGAAAGTAGAAATAAGAAGAAGCGGCCAACGAAGGCTTTTTAGGAGGGGGATCTAGTGCTCGTTTGGGATGCGATAAAGCAGATCGACAAGAGTTCAAGCCGGAAGCTTAACGAAAGATGGCTTGGCCCGTACCGTGTCCGTCAAGCTAAGCCGAAGAAAGGTTTCTACCAATTAGAAGACTTAAACGGAGTAGCGTTCGTAAGCACGACAAGAGCTGATAGGTTGAAGCCCTTCGAGAAGCTACCCGAGAGAGTTGCGGATAGCATTTTACAAGGTCGACTAAAACTATATCCCACGACTAAAAGCCTTACCATAGTAAGACCTATGAACCAAGAAACACTTAGGAGCACCTGACAGGAGACTGTCGGCGCGCTTAAGTAAAGTCCGAAAAGAAGAGGGGAGGGGGAGACGCGCGAGCGCGGTAAGGCATAAAAGTAGATCGAAAAGAGTAAGAGGTACTACAAAATTGTTATCTTAAGTACGAAAGGAAAGCGGGGGAGGAAGCACCAAATTGTTATTACGAAAAGAAACATAGATTATAATCAGAAAGAGATTTATTCCGCCATAGCTACTTAAAGCTAGCTACACTTCAGAAGACACTTATTAAGCCCAATTAGACTCACGATACCAAAGAAAGCCTATCGACAAAAGGCTAGACAACCACCGAAAGACAACTAGAGCAAAGTCCGACTATGAGCCACGAGAAGCAGTCGACTAAGCACCACCAGGGCCAGCTGAGGAGCGGGAGGCGTTGCTCGAAGCACGCTCACGCGCACGCGCCGAAGGAAACGCGGGATGGTTTGGACGCGCGATGGTGTTGGTGGATATAATCTCTCCAAGCTGAGGACTAGCTTGACCCGAAGGGAGCGCGGGCTCAGCTATAAAGAAGACGAGATATTAGCGCTGACTAGACAATGCGAAAAGAGATTGAGCTTACAGTAGAATGAGCAGCGAGTAGTGTTGCCGTTCAGCACGCACTTGTTGCAGGCACCGAAGTTCAGCAGCTGACCTTGATAGTAGGACTGGGCGCAGTTAGCAAACTGGATGTTTGCTCGGGTGCTCTGGCAGCGGGAGCAGCGGTTATCGCCGATGAAGATGCGGTTAGAGGCGGCGGCTTGCTGAATGACTACTAATCGGTTAGCGGAGTGAGAGGGGGCGGAAGTGAAAGAAATACGAACCAGCTTCAACGTTAGAGTCGTAGTAGCCACGCTGAGTGTTCATGCCAAAGAACTGAAGGACAGTCGGGGCCTCATTGCGGAAACGAAGGCTGGTCGGAGCCAGGTACGCCTCATCGTCGTCGCGATGGACAGCCAGGACGCGCTGATGAGGTCCGAGAGACAAACCTTGAACTTGAATCTGCTAGATGAGATGGGCCAGCTCACGAACGAACGCCAAGTCAACCCGACGGGTCTGCTGCTTCTTAACTATAACGGCAATTAGTTATCGACTTAGCATAACGAAAGAGGTTCGGGACGGCACTTACGCTACTTAAGAATAACTAACTTAGCCGAGCGAGTCTCGTAAAGCCAGAGGCTGGACTGCTTATCACCACCGGCGGCGAAGAACTGGTTGGGCTTCTTGCCTCCATCTCCAGCACCACCCGTAGCGCCAGCGACTAATGTCATAATAGTCGAAAAGAAGTCGTAGAAGAAGTTGAAGTTATGAGTAGAAAGCGAGTTGACGATATGCTTTTGAGAGCCGGAGGCAGGGGACTATATAGTGAGAGGGAAGCGGGCAGGTGGTCAAAAAGCGGGTGCCAAGACAGGCAGCAATCGCTGAGTGGGTTTGCTTGATTGGCCAGGCAGTCGAAGTGACGTCGGTTAAGTGCCAAGAGCAGTGAAAGGGGATCGCACGTGACAATAGCAAACGAAAGCCACCTGCGGTGACTGCGAGCACGGGTCGACGTTATGATACTAAATCGCAGAGGGCTGCGTTTGTTCGATTCCTAATCGAGACAAGAAGCAAAAAGAGATACCTGCTTAGAAGTTTGGCGATAGTTTTGCGGCGCTTGATGGGACCAAGCGATAAAAGCTGGGGAGGAAAATGTGGTGTAGTATCACGTGACTAGTTCACGGTATATATTACGATTTTCTTTCGTAGGTAGATAGGCACCCTTCTCCAATCAATCCTTTATACCGATCAAAATTCAGCTTACTTCTACTCGATTGCGGGTCGCCCCTCTGATCTTTTGAGCTCGATCACGTATCGTGCCACAGTATCCAAAACGTGAAGAAGTCCCGTGCTCTCACCAGGAAAAGGAATGGGACGCCGTGGAGGACACTAGACTTTAACCAGAAACGAAGCAAGATAGCGTGTCGCCCACCGATTTTCAGGAAAACTCTGCACTTTTCAGCTAACTATCTCCGAGAACTCGATTCGAGATACCAAAAAGGGCTTCCTTTACCAGCCTGTGTTGGCATTCGCGGAATCTTGTACCGAGTGAGGTTTCTCCGCAGTGACTAGATGCGCGAAGCCATATGTGCATCTTGGCTGGATCCACAGAGATGTATGGTGGTGAGGCATCGTATTGCTAGGGCACATATGTCCATGTAAAGCCAACACCAAGATCTTACTTGTAGGGTCAGGGTCGACTGGCGCATAGCTTCGAGTTGATCTTTTTACGTAGCTTCATATGCACGGACGCACGCCAAACCTACGCATCCAAGGTCCCCTGAAAGTGCAAGCAGTCGGTCAGCGCCCAACATTGTGTTCCACCCAACAAATAGCAATATCACTGGTTGTGTCGCATCAAGCCACAAACCATGGCTTATGACATGAAGAGATGACGTTGGTTGCTCAAATGATTCTTACAAACTACCATGTGACATAGATCAAGAAAAGAAATTCTAGAAATTCTTAGGCAGTCGTGAGTTGACTAAAGCCCGCGATAAAACATTATATACAGAAGAAGATTCCAAGAATAAACTTTACTTTTTAAGCACGGCACATGCGACCATCTTTGCTGACTTTCCACGCCTCGCTACCAACACCCTTCAGGATGTAGAAAACACCCCTGGGGTCGTACTTGGCCTTGATAGCCTTCAGCTTGGGATAGTTGGCACCAAAGAATGTATCTTGCCAGTTGGGCTGCTGGAAATCAGCCTCGTTCAGGTATGCGCCACTGCCTGGAGTAACGGCTTCGAGCTTGGGCATGAGCTGGGTAGTCATCTTCTGCTGGTCTGCCTCCATGGTGGCCCACGGAGCGGTGGAGTTCCAGTTTGTGATGAGTTGTTGTTGAATCAAAGCATTTCGCCATGCTGGGAATACACCGTTGGGTGGGTTTCCAGCGGGCTTCTTGTAATTGGCTGTACTACCAGCAAGCAAGACACCCTCTGCAATGAGCTCTTGATAGACCTTGACAAGGTCTGCAGTGTTGTTCTCCACAACATCGCGAGGAATAAGACGACCGCCAAACTGATACCTGTTGACCTCATAGGCTCCGCGTGGGAGAGGACCCATGTAACGGTCGTAGTGGTCGCGGTAAGAGAGCTCACTGTAGACAATTGGTGGGGTAATGCCAAGGTCTGTAAGAGCCTTTGCAAAAGGCGCAAGCACAGTGTCCTTGACATACGCGGCCGTCGAATCCCAAACAGTGACAGGCTTGAGGACAATGTACTGGGTGGAGACCAAGAAGACCACCATAGCACCAGCATCAACCATTCCTGGAAGAAGTTCGATAAGCTTGGAAGTGGCTGCGGCAAACTTCTCTGGGGTGGTAGATGATGCCAAGAGTTGCATAGCAGCACCGCCAACCGTCTTGGACGGGTATGCCTTGACGGTCATTGAAAGTACAACGGCGTATGTGCCACCGCCGCCTCCGCTGAGAGCCCAGTAGAGATCAGAGTTCTCGGTTGCTGAAGCAGTGAGAGTCTTGCCTTCAGCAGTAACGACCTAGAAACAAATTATTAGCCATGGTTCTTTTTGCTTGGAAGATGGAGTTTCTCACGTTGAAAGACAAGGTCTGATCAGCACCAAGACCAAAGGCAGTGCTGAGAACACTGTGACCACCACCTTGGGTGAATCCACCAGCCAGACCAACAGTGGCGCATTCGCCAGAGACAACACTCATGTTTTGCTTGTGTGCCGCCTCTAGCAACTCATTACCCATGACACCTGCACCCACAGTGACGGACGGGCCAGTGTAGTACTTGTCCGACCAGTCACCAAAGGTGATGCTCTTAAGACTTTGCGTCCAGATAGCAAGAGCGCCGGCTCCAGTGGAGCGACCAAGAAAGTCATGACCAGTGTTGCGAACAACAACACGAATGTTCTGATCCTTGGCAAACTTAAGAGCAGAGACGACATCCTTTGCCTCAGTGGCTTTGACAGAATATGAAACATAGTTGCCCAGGGTGCAAGGGATGCTCCTATCGGAGAATGGATCGCAGCTCTGATTGGCGAAGTAGGATTGCATAACCGAATGCGAGGACGGAGTACTGCCAAGACGCATCAAAATCACATCTTGAAGAATATGAACGTTCATAATTGTTGTACTTACTGGGTAAGAGGGTTTAGCCATTCTGACTTCAACGCGCTACAAGCGTCGGCATCGTATGTTGGGTCGTGACATGGCGAACCGATGGGGACAGTAGCTACAAGCTTTCCATTGACAGTTGAGTTGAGGATCGACCATGCTTCAGTAGCTGGCCAATCGGCATCACCTGGCAGACGGTAGCAGCCTGCAGGAGCAGCATCTGCAAGACTAGCAGTAAACTGTAACGCTCCAAGGAGCAGTGCATTCTCGGTGAACCTCATCCTGCCGTGAAGAAAAAAAAAGTATTAGATAGTAGTAGTGGTGGATTCAAGGGAGTAAGTTGCAAGCCCTTCCTATATACTCGTTGCCTGCCTGAATGTTCATTTCGCACTGCCTCGAGGCCATCATACTTACTTCGGAGACCAGCTCGAAGAAGGCAGTTTAGCGACCGTGGGTCGCCTCGTGTAGGAATGCAGCGCCGGTAGTGTCGACCCGGCAGAGTGCATCCACACGTCGATGCCGTGGCAAGGCACCAGCCTTGCACTGGGCTGGATGCCGGCGAAAACCTCAAGGCGGCAATTGATAGCCGCAGGTACGGGTCGTCGACCTTCTGCAGGGCATGGCGGGTCGACAGATCAATGGAGGGATTTAACCGGGTGGGTTTACGCTGGGGTATGGATCCTTTACCGAGGGCCGTCCTGCTACGTAGGATTTGGGAGTGGTCAAACAATGGAGACACCTCATGTATCTGAGTGGATATATGATAGATAAGAAGAACAATGAGGGTGCCAATGGTCCACATTTCCATTTACCATGTGTTGTTGCGCCATAACTACTTACACCTACCATACCCCTCCCCCTCCCCCCCTGCGATCCTATCCCTTAAAATCCCCACGTTCTTCGTTATTGAACCCCTAGCAAGCGGAGGCAAATCGGTTGGGACTTTACAATTGGCTTTCGGTTAGCGTGTGTGGCGTTCGCCTGACACGCCGGATCGATCCCCACGTGTCGCTAAGACGGCTGGCACATGAAAGACCCCTTTATGAACATGGATCCCGTCCTACTCTTAGTACATGCAGAGTCCAAGAGACTATGCGACAGCGGCTTCTCACAAAGTTTGCGCTATCGAATGTGCCATGGTCGGCTATGCTCCTGTACCCGGCAGTTTATACCGATGACGGGCCACACCACGAGTCGTGAGTTTCACTCATGAACTGTTGGTAGAATGGAACCCCTGTGCACATCATACCCCAAGAACACCTTCCGTTTCGAGTCGTGGGTTAAATACCATTACCTTTGCCGCCGTTGATTCACGCGTGACCTCTTTGCGGTTTCTCGCATACCAGCTACATAACAGAGTTCAACCTCCATGTACTTGTCCCCTGACCAGTCAGGCTTAGTAGCAGCATCAATATGAAGGCTTTTCTCCGAAATTACTTTCTGCTATGCCTTGCTGCCATATCATTGGTAACCACGGCACAGCGGACTGCCACATCAGATCTTCCAGATTGCGCTGTAAGCCACTCTCGCTTCTCGCATCTCGACTTTTGCTGACTACTACAGCTACTCTGCCTCGGGAGCGCATTCGAGACCAAGACGTGCTCTCCCTTTGACCAGAAATGTATTTGCACAAACAAGGTTTTCCAGCAAAACGTAACTCTGTGTGTGAGCACTACCTGCACCATTCCTGAAGCCTTGGGTATGTCGGATCCACAACCGTTGAGAAAAAGCAAAAAAGGCTAATTCGTATAAAGTTACACGAAACATCAGCCTTACGAACTGCGGGGCGCCAGTACGCGATCGCGGCGACAAATATGTCGTCTTGTCAAACACCATGTTGTGCATAGCATCCGCCTTCGTTATCATTCGATTCGCCTTCAAGGCCACCGTGTCGAGACTGGATATTGGCTGGGACGACTGGTGCGTCCTTGCGACACTGATAGCCTCCATACCCAGCGCCTTCATCACGATATACGGTACTGTCAAGAACGGACTCGGCCAGGATCTCTGGACCTTGACGCCCACACAAATCACCAACATGCTGCGGTACTTTTACATCATGGCGTGGCTATACTTCACTCAGCTCACGCTACTGAAGCTCACCCTGCTGTTCTTCTACATCCGCGTGTTTCCGAGCAAAGACGTCCAGCGCCTGCTATGGGGCACCGTCATTTTCGTCGTACTCTGGGGCCTCGCTTTTATCATTGTGGCAATCTTCCAATGCCAACCCATCTACTACTTCTGGACAAAATGGGACGGCATGCACCACGGCAAATGTCTCAAGATCAACACAATTACCGCATCAAACGCTGCCATTTCGATTGCCTTGGACTTCTGGATTCTAGGCGTGCCTCTCTGGCAGCTTTGGGGCCTGAAGCTGCATTGGAAGAAGAAGGTCGGCGTAGCACTAATGTTTTGCGTCGGCACCTTCGTCACAGTCGTTAGCATTCTGCGCCTGCAGGCTTTGGTGCACTTCGCCGCGTCATCAAATGTCAGCTGGGAGTTCTACGACGTCTCAGTATGGAGCACAGTCGAGATATGTGTTGGAATTATGTGGTAAGTCAACTTCGATTGAACTAAGTATTTTTCATGGCATTTTTATTTGGCTAACATATGGTTGCAGCGCATGCCTTCCGACACTTCGCTTGCTCCTGGTCAAACTCTTCCCGATCCTCGGTGGCTCCTCGGCGCGCAGCCGTCAATACTACAATTACGGAAGCGGCAATGAGCTTCGGAGCATCGGCCAACAGAAAAGCAAATCGTACAACGTCAACACGGCTGTATCGAGCCCGCGGACTGCATCCTTTGACGACAAAGTTGAGGATGGCATCAGGGTTCAGACATCGTATAATGTCAAGCATAGCAGTAGCCGAGAGGATACAGATGAAGCGAGCCTGGTAAGCCACGAAGCGCCACGAAGGATATAACGCCGAGATACGCCGTGCGTATCCATTTTATGTTACAATAATAGTTTGAATTAAAGATGGGATTCCCTACCATTTCGAATAATTTCGCGCCAACTCGCACCAACTCGCACCAACTCGCATGATCGGATGTGCTCTGTATCGCCGTGCATCGATGATGGCAACTCCAAGTTGCTCAAACCTTGTCGCGATCAATCCCCGCATTCCAAACCGCTCTTCTTGCTAAATGCAAATCATCGTCTGAGTGCTGGCTGTGGTGATCGACGTACACTGAAACGCACATGCACGCTCATCACGGTTCTGTGGTTCGGCCGTCCAAAGGGTAGTGCAGATCATTTAGAAGAGTACCACCGAGATCCTCGTGGGAGATCAGCGCTAGTATGACAGATCCACGTGTCGCCGATCTCTCTGCACGTAACCTCGTATAGAAGCTTCGGAGGAGAGAAAAAATTGGCGTCCCCGGCCCAGAATGCCAATGTGGAATGCCAATTAATTCGCGTCTTGTCCTTTGGACGGCAGTTGTTAACATGGCTGTGTACCTACTTGCCGCACGATTCAGGAGGGGGGGTTTTGTTTTTTTGCAGTAATAGGAGACGCGGCAGGGCAGCGGGAAGTGGCTCCGGTGGAGTAGAGCCTATGTATGAATCGCAAGTCTGCGATGGAGTAGTGATGTGGCTTGTCAAGCTGCCGCTGCCACAATGTGGGGTCGATACCTCATAGCCGGAATTCGGCGTACCACCCAGCCCTCCGCGGACCGAGCTTCTCAGCCCCCCCCCCTCCCGTGCCACAATCACGATCGCCCACATTGACCACGACAAGTTCAACGGTAGTAATTCCTATTGCTATCTTGCATGCATCTATTGGGCTACATAACTATTCGGCAAGCTGCAGCATCTCGAAAGTATATACAACCAGAGTGGTAATGGCTACGGACAAAAGGCCGCGCTCGGCCGAGAATTAGCTACGCAGGTTACCTATTAGCTTACTAGCGGCCGCGAAACTTTGATCCCAGTGACATTTCTGGCAGGGGCAGGTGATGAAGAAGCCGCCAGTTATTGGCCTTTTTGCCTCTTCAGCTGCTCTTGCTGATGTAGTCTTCTTTCGCGCTTGTCTGCGATTCGATGAAATATGCTGCCATCGTATACGGCGCGGATGTCCTCCTTCAAGCAGTTAGTCAACACAGAATACCTAGTGTGGATTCCCCTCGGAGGACTACAAACTTTCATCATCCGACCGTCTTCAGGCCAAAGCATCAGATACGTCGCGGTCCCTAGTGTTGACACCGGTTAGCTTGTTTTGGTGTCTCTCCACTAGCCTAGTACTGCCAAATACTCACACTCGAAAATAAAGCCACACCAACCAATCGGATCGTTGATGTCTCTTTGGCCCATCAGAGTATTCTTCAAACCGTGGACTGTCAGGTAATCCCTGCCCTCCGCATACTTGGTAAAGATTTCCTCAAACTTGGCTGGAATGAATCGTCCCTCTGGATCGAAAGTCCCAGTGTCACTTCCATGCCTTGCTCTATGCACGTTCTTTAGAAACAGGCGGAAATAGGGGTCTGGCAGCCATCCCGGGGACGTCGGGTACGAGAAGTTGATGTGAATGACTAGAACTGCGAAAGCGGAGAAGAAGACTCCGAGGCCCAGGCGATAGAAGCCCATGTATGTGTCTTGTGGCCAAAGAATGCCATCGCCGTCACGGTCAAAGAAGTCGCAGTGCTGTTGCAGGACGGTTTGGTGAGAGTGTTTTTCAGCCCAGTTGTCTTGTGTGCTTCCTTGGGGCGTATCTACTGAAGGTGCCAGGTTCGCGCGCGCTACCGCTGTATTTATTTGGCGATGAGCAAAGTGACACGTGAAGTTGAGTTGCGTCAGAAAAGCTTACCTGGTTGCGGGAGTTTAGGGTCATTAACGTCAAACCATGGTTTCCTCTGCGCTGTAATGGGTACCTCGCGTATGGCGTACACGGGCACGCCATCCTCCGGAACCCCAGACTCCCCAGCATTATCATTGAACTTTGCGAACATGGCGAAGGACTTTCTGTTACAACTAGCAATTAGAGAGAATAGCTCTAGAGAAATATAAAACAAAAGAATTTCATGTCATCCCAGCCAAGCCATTTCGTCTTGTAAACATCATGTAGAATGCGAGCTGGATGCTCCTATTGGATCGAGTGGTAAACATGACGTCAATGACTTGGGGCTTGGTATGCTGTGCACAATGCTGAAAGCGAGGGAACCAAGGCTTGGTTTCTATCATGGGTGTGCCAGAAATGATTGCAGTGCATAGATGGGGTGGATGGGGTTGTAAGATGACACAGGTGTTGCGACGTCTGCGAGCTGCAGCTGCCACTGTCTGGGGTCGCAGCCTCACAGCCAATCAGGGCATTTGCAGATGCGGAATCAACCAAGCCGCGGTTGGATCGACAGGAACGTGGCAGCCCTGGCAGATTTGGATAGAAGTCGTGCCAATGATGGTTTCTTCTCGTGAACTGCCCTTGTCCACAGCCCCGCATCGTCAGGCCAGTCCCCTTTTTCGTCATATGGACAAAACTTCTCGGTTTCTTTCGATTGTCTCGCTTCAAATGTGTTGGATTGATGATGCAAAATATCATCCTGCGTGCCTATTGTCTTGTGATGAGTCCTCATTGTACTGCATTGCAGCTACACAACCTTGGAAATTTCCCCTGGCGAGAAGAAGAGTCTGTAAAGGTTTCATACAGAGATTAATAACGCATTTGCATATGTCTTGATCTTTAGACAAGTGAGTTTGAAGGCTCTTGGGTGCTGTACTCCGCTATAACTCTGCACCAAGGGTAGGGAATGTAAATCTCGCAATATGAGACACCGATGGGGCATGGACTTGGCCATCGAATACCACCGATATTAATACCAACAATCTCGCATACTTCTTGAGTGATAATATCTCTGAAACGACTTTGGAGCAAAATGTGTAAATATGGCCTTGGTGATCTCTACAGCTGGATTTGGTTAGCGCAGTCTTGTGAATGAATGACGCGCATGCACGGGACCACGGGAACACGCGTCTTGCAAGGTCGCGCAGCAACACACGGCCCTCTTGACGATGCAGCAACAGCGGACGCTTTTGGAAGACGGCGCATGCTTCTAACGCAGCCCTGAAATGTCCTGAAATGACTGCGTAACCGCAATGTCGTCGCCGTTGCCGGATTTCTATTCGTCCCAATTCTCCATCACCTCGCCACGTCGCATCCCCAAATCGAACTTTACCTATAAACAACTCCACCAGCTCAAGTCCTGCAGCCCACAAACCCCTCTTCGCGTAATTGCACACGTCGATCTCGATGCCTTTTATGCCCAGTGCGAAACCGTTCGTCTGGGCATCGATCCCTCAAAGCCCCTCGCTGTGCAACAATGGCAGGGCCTCATAGCAATCAACTACCCCGCGCGCGAATTCGGGCTAAATCGACATGTCACATCCACCGAGGCGCTGAAGCAATGCCCCGACCTCATCCTACAACATGTTGCGACATGGAAAGAAGGCGACGAGAACTGGGCGTACCATGAAAACAGCTTCCGAGACATGGCGACGCACAAAGTTAGCCTGGACCCATATCGCAAGGAGAGCCGCAAGATTCTCAAATGTATCAAAGAGATTTTGCCCGAGAAGGAGCAGCGTGTGGAGAAGGCGAGCATTGACGAAGTATTCATGGACCTGAGCGCGCAGGTACATACTATCCTTTTGGAGAGATACCCCGAGTTGAGAGGGCCGGCACCGTACGACGATCCAACAGAGCCGCTACCAAAAGTGCCAACAACAGTGCTAGATTGGGCCGCTGACGCGCTTGTGGGGACGGGTGAGGAAGACGGGGAGGATAGAGACCCGGATTGGGATGATGTATGCATGGTGATTGCATCCGAAATTGTTCGGGACGTAAGGAAACACATCAAAGACACACTTGGATACACATGTTCTGGCGGTGTGGCCAGAAACAAGATGCTTGCGAAGTTGGGCTCAGGGTACAAGAAGCCGAACCAACAAACCGTCATCCGGAACCGCGCAGTCAAACATTTCCTATCAGACATGAAGTTTACCAAGATTCGAATGCTTGGAGGAAAGTTAGGAGATGAGGCCGTTTCCACTTTTGGCACGGACAAGGTTAAAGACCTCATGGAGCAGCCATTGGATCAACTGAAAAAGCTGGGTGACGATACGGGCAGCTGGTTGTACTCTATCATTCGAGGCGAAGACAACAGCGAGGTTAATCCGCGTACACAGATCAAAAGTATGCTTTCGGCAAAGTCCTTCCGGCCATCGATCAATTCTTTTGAGCAAGGTGTGCGATGGCTGCGCATCTTTGTCGCAGACATTTTCTCAAGATGTATGGAAGAAGGCGTGCTAGAGAATAAGCGACGACCCAAGAGTATCAATCTCCACCATCGACAAGGCACACAAACTCGAAGTCGCCAAGCACCAATTCCTCAGGGGAAGCCTCTGTCCGAAGCAATTCTGTTTGACCTCGCAAAGAATCTGCTAGCACAAACGGTTGTTGATGGGCGCGCCTGGCCTTGTTCAAACCTTTCGTTAAGCGTTGGTGGTTTCGAAGACGGCATCGCAAATAACAAAGGTATTGGCGGCTTCTTGGTACGAGGCGAGGAAGCAAAAGCCATGATGTCAACTGGCAGAGTTACAAGCAGTAGCAGCGAGCCGCCAGCCAAGCGACGACGAACAAAGGGCAACATTGCCAATTTCTTTGGGCCACGAGACGACAAGAAGAAAGATTTTGATGCGGCGAGGGCGGTGCTGTTGAAAGCACACACCGAGTCCACAAAGGAAGAATTAGAAGAGGACATGGGTCCACAAGAAGATGAGGATGCATTATTTGCCGGAGACGGCGATGAATTCGAAAGACCATCTACACCTCCTCTGAACCGGCATAGTTCACATGGGGAGGCGTATCCTCCAAACACTCCTCCATCAGCTCAACCGCAGTCCGTCTCAACTTCTCCACCTCCACATCCTCGTGACGACCCACAAACACCAGCTCAGCGTCCCGAAGCACCTGCCCAGCAGAAGACCATAGATAGGTTTTTCTGTCCCAGGTGTAACATACACCTACCGGCTAGCGAGAAGCCCGAACATGAAGATTACCACTTCGCACTCGACTTATCGCGTGAAATGCGGCAAGAAGACCGGACGCCGGCGGTACCGCCTTCTGGTGCTGCGAGTGGAAAAAGAGGCGCGAGTGCATCGAAACCGTCACGAGGACGTGGGAGGCCGCCTGGTGGTAGCGTAGAAAAAGGACAGGCCAGGTTGGCTTTTGGCAAGAGTACATGATGAACGTTAAATGTGTTAACTTATTATTCGACGATTATGATTTTCAATATTAATATATTCCATATCCCATCATCATCATCATCATCATCATCATCATCATGCTGTGTACAGCCTTGTGATATTATTCTCGTAACACCGCCATTACCATGCTTTCCTTCATACCCAGTCTCCTAGATGACTTCAAACTCAAGTCTAATCTTGGGCACCTCCTTGCTGCCCTCGGGCATGGTATAGGTAAAGTTCCAAAACTCAAAGTCACTACATGAACCGTTAGTAGTCCCCCTTTTTTTTTCCAAGTAGTTCAATTCAAGGAAAAAAGAAGAAGAAGAAGAAGATGGGGAAAAAAAAACTCACTTAATCGGCGACCCCTTTCCGCCAAACATGCCATTAAACGTGACGTTGTACTCCAAATCCACGGTGCCAGTCACATTCTTAACCTTCAACCCTTGCACATCCTCCCAGGACTTGACATCCCTCTTGCCAGCCCACCCATTGGGCGCAACGAGAAACGAAAACCCAGTCTCACTTCCCGCGCCATCCGGGTACGTGAGTTCCAAGCTGCCAGGGCCAACACGAGCCTGCAGGGCTTTTGTCTGCGCATACAGCGTAATCCAGCCCACGCCGTCTTTGTCCTGCCCGGGCCGCGCCCACTGGACGACGGCGGGGTTGAAGGAGTTTTGATTGATGCTTGGTCCGCCGACTACGTTTTCGGAGAAGGAAGTTGCGCCAATGGTGAGCGAGGGGGAGAGCCAGGCGGAGATGTTGCGGGGGTACGTGTCGTAAGGGGGTGAGAAGGCAGAAGTAGAGACAGAGTGGGTAGCCGGGAAGGTGGTTAGGGAAGAAAAGGTAGTATTGGGGACGAGAGTATTGTGGAAAGGTGCGAGGATAGCAATCAGTGGACCAATGGCGAAGTCGTTTTTGTGGCCCATTGCCCACGGTTTCTTGTGGATGGGAGCTTTTTCTTTGCCGACCAAGGTCCACATGTGTAGGGCGAGGATGCTCAGATAGCGATTCATGTCGAAGCCGTAGGCGCGGTCCCAGGGCCCGGCCACGTTTTTCAGGTTCGCATTGTAGAGTTGGCCGAGGATAGCCCATGTATCGCGGATCATGCGGGGGCCGTACTCGCCCATGATGCTGTCGGCGGGAGAGAGGTACTTGGCCCATAGGGTAAGCGCGTACAGCGAGACGCCGGCGTAGGTGCCAGAGTTGAATTCAGAGAGTGTGTTGTCGCGGGTAAACAGGTCGATGATGTCTTTGGCGTAGGCTTCACCCGCGCTCGTCATGTTTGCGTCGTTGAGACGTCGGCCAACGTATCCAGAGACAAAGGCGCGCATGATGGACGGATTGCTGTATGCAGGGTGCAAGTTGTCGTCGTCGACACCGCCGACACGATAACTATCGCCAATGGTCGTGTTGTACAGACTCTCGAGAATATATGCCGTCGTGTCCTGCGGGAGGAGATGCGGGAATTCCTCGAGCATAATGACAAACGTGGTGCCGATGAAACCACGCCAATTGGGGTCCCACGAGTTGTAGATTGAGGCTGGGTATTCTGGCGTACCGACATAGGGCTCCTCAGGATACTTTTGATAATCGCCATACCACTGCTCGCTCTCGTTCTTGAATTGGCCCTGGATAATGTTGGTCACGATCCTGACGGCCTGCTCTACATCGTCGTTTTCGTTGCGTGCAAGCAGACCCGCGGCATACCAAGCGCTCGACCTAGTATCGTGCACCATGGCAGCCGCGTCCAAGTCGAACAGATAACCTCTTTCATTGTCATAGTACATGTCCATCCAGTCCATTGACTCTTGCAGTAAACTAGTCGTGAAATCTTGCGTCTCATTGCGTGCGACCAAGCTGCGCCCAGCAAAGACACGCTGTGCTAGAAGTGCCGAAGCAACAGACAACCGGGAAAAGGCGACCATGACGAGGCGGTGTAAAACGAACAAGAAATGCTCACATCACAAAGGTGCAGGCGCCATCACGTACTTGAGTACGGCGCAAACCCAAGCGGCTAAGCACCAGCATCCGAGGCCATATCCAAAGCGGTACTTGGAGAGGGGGTTTCGGTATCTGATACGGCGAGATAACGTTGATACCGGCATGGCGGTCTATCGTGCTCGTATGGGTCCCGGATAATTGTTGGCTAGTGAGTTCAAAGTTGCGGGTTCGTAGTCAAAAGAGGAATGTCAATCCATGACTCGTGCCGACAAAACGTGACGGCACGAAATGACCAACCACAGGCATCGGACCATTTGCCCTTTGGATGGGTAGTTTTGCTTGTCAGACTACAGCAGTTTTGCATCTGCACCGCTATAAAATGGTCGATCGAGGGCCGACCCGTTTAACGTGGTAAAAGAAGCCAATTCTTTGTTCCACCAAGCCGAACGTTCGCCACGCCGTTGACTTGCACGTGCTGTAGAGTTGTAGTGTAGTCAAGAGCCCTCTGGTCACGTGCCCTTACTTGCGAGCCCCTGTTCACGTGCCAGCACTAGCATGGATATCAGCCATGCATATCTTGGCTGCTACCCTTGCAAGTCGTGTGGTTTATCTGCAATCATTGATGTGAGAAGAAAAAGAAAAGCGGAAGCAGCCCCGGATGTCAGCAGCCTCGTGAAGACTGTGAGCAGAGGCTGCAAAGACAGTGGCAAACCGTAGCCGATCAAACGGGGCGGAAATAAAATCTGAGATTCGTCACACCGTGGATGCGAGTCATAGCGTGTGATGAATATGTGGCGAAAGGCTTGTGGCGAAAAGCTTAAGACAACCCAGACTGTCAGTAAAGCAAGTAAAACACAGTGCAGAGAATCAACAGAAAAAAAAAGGCATTGGCATTCTGGTTTTGGCATGCTCATCGTGCATGTGTAAAGAACCGTTCATTCGTTAACATCGATATCGCAACGTCCAGGTCGCAGGTATATACATTGCAAGAAAAGCAGGATCCGGGAATAGATGCAAACTACCAGGATAGCGATAGCCATCATTGCAATGAATGTCCTGCTGGAAAGGGTGGAAAGATTCCGTGGCAATAAAAGTGGTTGCGCACCCCCGCAAGTCAAAAAAGAAATCCGAAGAGGAATGAGATACGACGCCCAATTTCCCAGATAACGTACACATAAATATCAAACATACAAAGGAAATGAAAGAAAAACCTGATGGACAAGTTTCCTTGGGTAGTTTCCAACCGGGTGTGGTGGATGAATGGCTCATGACTTCAGATCCTAGGAAAATGGCTCTCTATCCGGGTAGTATTTGTGTTTTGGTGTGGGAAATGGATTAAACTCCCCAAGGGGCTGGCTTCCAGAAGACAGAAGATGGTCCATTAAAATATTAGGTGTGCGTGTGTGTGTGGGTGGGGGTGGCCAGACTCCAGAGCACCATCCAGCAGCGTGGGAAAAAAGGGTATCTCCGGGCTCGACAGTTGGACGCGGCAACAACAACAAGGCCGAAAGATTTTTGGAAGCTATGTCTATCTGGTACTGTACCTAGAGGTGCCAGACTGTGGGTTTCGTGACGCCTGCGGCTGTTGTGAAAGAGGGTATTCTACGCAAAACATGTTAGTTGCGTGGTGCGCAATCATGAATTGTACTTACGCCGACCATCTGAGGCGATGTAGTAGCCTGGAGCGGCTGCCGTGGCACTACGGGGGGGGGAGCTTAGCGATAGACCAAAAAGGGCTCGTCATAGTAACCAAAATACCTTGAGGCAGTGTACGGGGCGGACTGGGAAGGCGCCTGGCGTCCGTACGGGTCAGGAGTGGCGGCTGGATACGACGAGTAGGGCGATTGCGCCGGGTAGTCACGTCCTCCAGGCTGTGGGTATGCCGAGTAAGGGTCCGCAGGCGATGTCCTGGGCGCAGAGGCAGCAGGCGAGGGCTGGTAACCCGGATGTGAGCTTCCATAGGTGGATGTGGGAGTCGTCGTGTAGTGCGGGTCACTGCTGGAGTAGCTGCCAGAGCCGTAGGCGGGAGTCCTCGAGGCCGTCGACTGGCGGGGCTGGTCGTAGGGATCGGCAGAGGCATGCGAAGAGCCGTGATCGTAAGGTTTTGTCGGACCCCAATGCTGGCGAGCAGCATGTGTGCGAGAGTCCTGATAAGCCACTAATGAAGCGTTAGGGCCGGCTGATACCTTTGTAGTGCGCACTTGTGGACTGTGGCTACCTCCGCGGCCCGTCTCGCCAGGCTGTCTTTCCTGCTGCCAGCGTTGGGAATCCATTTTCAAGTCTTGTATCATTTGCTGTAGCGAGCCAAGTTAGTGTTGTGTTCAGGTGAGGAAAGAAGGTGATGAGTGAGAAGGAGCGCCAGCCAGTCAGTCAGTTAGACATACCGATGTGAGGGTTCGATAGGCCGTTATCCAGTAGCCAGGCTGGCCCTATGTAGTTTGTCAGTAGTGCTCCGTAGTATGGACGTGATGGCAAAAGTTGCGGACCTGGTATTCTCCGGTACCTGTGCCAGGCCTGACGAGCGCATCTGGGCCCAGGTAGCGCTGGATGTCGGCCGTGATTACTTCTCGGGCGATGCCTTCACCAGGCACAAACCACTGATTTGCGCGCGACATGGTTGACAGCGAGATGTGTGTGGGTAGGTGATGAAAAGAAAGATGACGCTGTTGTCAATGCCAACTGTTGGGCGGCCAAGCTAAGGGAGCTAGTACAGACCAGGCGGGAACTTTGTTTCTCTCAAGGGGACCAAGAAGGAGTTCCAGAAGGGGTGGCTGGACAGAAGACTAGTCACGTCGGGATGACGATGCAGGCTGGTGTAAGGAGTCCGGGGGTAGAGGGGGGAGCTATCAAGACCAAGGGATGTCCAGAAGAGTTGGTGGAAGAAGACGGATGCAGCACGCAGGAGCGGGGGTTTGGACCAATATACCGGCACTGGGAGGCGTGCAGCCTGTGACAGAGTGGACCTTTTGACGGCGTGGCTGCCGGGGACCGTTTTGGGAGACCGAAAGTGATGGGATCCAGGTTCCTGGCCAGGAGAGGAGGGAGTAAGGTTTTGCTGCCGGGGATCACGACAGGAGTGCCTAGAGGGATACTAGAGACTATGCGAGAGGCGATATTGCGCGCTTTCGCAGGCTACGTTTGTTGAGGGAAAGAGGGAGGGAGAGAGAGCGTTTGGCTCGAGGAAGGATGAGCTTGAGCAGAGCCGCAGGAGAGGGTTGGGCGCAGCGAGTGCGGGGTGATTGGCCGAAGTATATGGGCTCAGCTGGGAGCTGGCGCAGATATGCACGTCAGTCGGCTGGGAAGAGGGGGGGGGGACAGGCTCTTCGGGCAGCAAGCAGCGAAGGGAAGGATTTCTTGGTAGGGGAGGGGTTGGTGTAGATGTGGGAGGAGGGAGGGGGGGAAGAGGGAAGAGGGCAGACTGGTGCAGCAGTAGTGGTTGCAAGCAGCAGGAGGTGCAAGCAGTAGCAGCAAACAGTCAAGCAGCTCGAAGCGGGCGGGCAGGCAGGCAGAAAGAGAAGGAAAAGACTAAAAGAAGAGGGGCGCACCGACGGCAGGCGAAGTAATTATTCGCGTGGGCCAAAAGACGGCGGCCATGGGGAGTCTGGCGCGATTTGGGTCGCAAGGGCCAGACAGAGTGGGCGAGGGCGAAGGCGAGGGCGAGGGTGCAGTGAGTGGTGTGGAGACGGGCAACAGGCCCTGCCATGGCGCCGCTTGGGCATCAACTGCCACGGGCCAGCGCCTGACGGTCAGCAAGCTAGCACACCAGAATGTACCACAGACCCGCTGTGGCCGGTGTACCTTTGGACGGCTCTTCTGGGCATCTGTGTGTGTGTGTGTGTGTGTATGTCCATGTACGATTGATAGTACATACATGTATACATACATGCTACTCAAAGTAGAAAAGGGCAGCAGACTACACACAGACACACGGCACTTGACCGCGACGCCTCGACGATGCCCACACCTGTGCCACCATTGGCCGACACCACACACGACTCGACCGCTCCAGCACCAGCACCAGCAGCGTGGGGACGGGGGGGGGGGTTTGGTTCGGGCACAGCCGACGGCGGCAGATTTTACGGTGGGTTTGCAAATGCAATCGACATTGGCTGCGAGGGTGCCAGTGCCTGTGCCAGTGCAGAATGCCAGGCCGGTGCCAGCCGCTGGTGACGTTGGCATGCTTCTGCGGTGCTGCTGTTCTGCGGTGCTGCTGCTGCTCCAACTACGATGCCCTCGCAGCCTGTCCTGTGGCCTCACCGACACAAGGCACACACTCAGACTGGCACAGACAGGCCAGTAGGAACGCCTCCCCCGTACCGCGAGCCTTGGGCCCAATTCCCTCGGCTCCTCCATCGTGGCCGCTTGCTATTAGTCGACAAGTCTCGCCCACCCACTCGCTCTGCACTTGCGCTCATCCGTACCGCACCACACGACATGCGAGATGCGACGTCTGCCCTGCCTCACCCAGGCCGGGCGGGCACGTGTTTCTGTGTCACCGCAACTGCCCTGCCTGCCCTGCTGCCCTGCTGCCCAAGTCTGCATACCGCATAACCACCCACGTCACCCCCCCCCCCCC